CCATTCAGTTGAGACAATACCACCATGTCTGTCACTAGTGTTAATCTAGTACAGGCCCTCATCTTATTTCCCATTGCAGTAACATCCCAATTGATATCCTTGGTTCCAGACCCTTGAACCCAACCTTTATTTTACTGCCTGATGTATCTTTCTATAGGTCTGATTATGTAACTCCCTTTTATAAAATATTTAATGTTTCTCTATTGCCTATAGAAAAAAACAAATCTAACATTCTTAGAGAATTATTTAAGGTACTTCAAAATTTGGCCCCACCTCTGTACCTAACTACATCATTCACCACTTTTACTTCTTTCACAATGCAAATTATGTCATAGTCTAATTTTTTTTTTCCAGAGAATTTTCTATAGAACCTTAATTCCATTAGTTCTGAGAAAAAAGATTTCGTGGTCATGGTCATAGAAGTTTGGGCAGTGCTGCATACTATATTCCCTTCTTAGGAATGCATGCAATATCGTATGTTAAAAGCTCTGAAAAAATACTGTAATGAAGAGATCTATTTAACAATAATCCATTTTTTCCAATTTATTTGACCATGGAACCAATTTTTGAAGACCACCTCTTAACACCTTGCAAAAAGCTCTCTCATAGAACATGCTTTGGGAAATGCTGCTCTGTCATAGGGACCATTTGCAATTTTCTAAATAACCGTATTTTACTTTTTTTTTTTTTCATGGGGTGAGGAGAATTCATCTGGTAGTTCATTCCTGCAAGAAGAGACCCTACAATGCCCTTTTCCCCCTTGCCGATCCAGAAAACTTACTTATCCTTCAAAGCCCAGCTCATGTTTAATCTCCTATAAAACCTTTTCTGTCACACTGTACACTTTTTCCTAAAGCAAATTTAATTGATTTTCTATGATATCACTGAACTTTGCTTATAACACTTTAATATTATGTCTCGCATTTTGTGTGTCTGCTTCCTCCTCTGGTAAGCTGTGAGCTTAAGGGAAGGGGCCACATCTTATACATTTTCCTGTCTTGAGTGCCTAGCACAGTGCCAGGCATCTGAGAGGCACATTCAAACATCAATGAATTAATGTTCGTTGCGTGAATACACATGAAATCATTATTCCAATGCAAGCTGATATATAATTAAAGACTGAATTATATACTATATATGAAATGTTATAAGAATTCAAAAAATGGAATCAGTGAAGACTGGTATAATTAAGGAGTTTTATAAGGGAGGTGGGTCTTGAACTAGAGTTTGAAAGATGAGTAGAATTTGTGTGAAGTAAACACTCTAAACAAAGACAGAGCCAGGCATTGTCTGGCATGTTAGTGGAATAGTCAGGGAAAATAATGGATGCTGAAGGGTAGAAAAAATTAAAGTTGGGGAGTGAAAATGGCATCAGGTTATAAAAAGCTTTAAATGTCAAGTATAATAGTTTAAAAGCTGTTGGTTAAAGCATTAAATCAGGTTGAAAGCAGGATTTAGCAGAGATTAGACAAAAACACCCAAGACACGTGCTGATTTAAATTAAGGTCTCTAAGAGTCGCCAATTCTGTCATGTTTGTTAAGTGGCCTGTGCCATTCACATATACAGAGTATTAAGGCTCATGTTTTAATTGCATTGGCTTTATAATTCCTAACATAAATGTAGTAATTTACAGATGAAGTATTATCATGAAAGCAGAATCTTCCTCTCTTCCCCCAATATTTTTTTTTTTCTGACAAAATGTTTGTTCATAGAACTGTAAACATGGTCCCCATAAATTAAAGCACTAGAGGTGAACCCTGCTCCTGGGCATGAATCCAAATTCTAGAATTCTTACATTTTGAAAGGTACATGTAGTCCTTTGAATTCATTCAAGGAAAGGTATTCCTTAACAGAGAAGCAAGACTTAAATTGGCATTCATCTATCTTTCTTTAGCTCTAACTCATTAAAATAATGTGAAATTAGTTTGTAGACCATCATATTGAGTTTTTAATGTACCTATTATCAAAAAATTTTTTTTCTTTTAATGAGATGGTTAGCTCCAGGAGAATATTTCAAATCTAATAATTGGATTTTGGATTGGCTTATTCCAGGAATATATTTCCTAAATTTTTCTGAGTACTGCTGAATGAAGTTTCTTAAACTTTTGCAATCAAAGTTTCACTTTGTTGGAATTGATGAGTCCAAATCTGCTTGCTTATTTATTTCTAAATCAAACCTTTACTTTTGATATGATATCTTTGTTTTAAAAGACTTTATTTATTTTGAGAGAGAGAGGGAGAGAGTGTGTGAGTGGGGGGAGGGGCAGGGGAAAAGGGAGAGAGAGAATTTCAAGCAGACTGCCCTGAGTGCAGAGCCCCACATGGGGCTCGATCCCACAATGGTGAGATCATGACCTGAGCTGAAATCAAGAGTTGGATGCTTAACTGATGAGCCATCCAGGCACCCCTTGATATGATATCTTTAAGGAATGTTATAAGAAATACATATTATTTTTATTTTTTATTAAGGCGTAATTGACATATAACAATATATTAGTTTCAAGTGTACAGCATAGTGATTCGATATCGGTTTAATTGTGAAATGATCACCACAGTAAGTCTGGTTAACATCTATCACTACACATAGTTGTGATTTTTTTTCTCTTGATGAGAACTTTTAAGATCTACTCTCTTATTAGTAACTTTCAAATATACAATACAGGATTGCTTACTATCATCATCATGCTGTTCATTACCTGATCAACTTATTTTTAATGGTACCTTACTAATCCTCTTTCTCTCCCTTTACCCTGGTTTATTTTTCTTCACATTACTTATTACAACCTGGAATATTTTATATTTACTTGTTTATTTTCTGTCTCTACTCACTAAAATGTAACATCTGTGACAGTAAGGACTTTGTTGTGCTTACTGCCACATTCAGCCTTCTTAAAACATTGTCCAGAACATAATAGGTACTTAATAAATATTAGCTGAATGAATGAATGAATGAGTGGATGAATGAAATAAAGAATACTTTAAATGCTTTTAAGCCTAAAATGAGTTATTTAAAAGCAGAATTTTTTTCTTTCAATGAACAAATACTTAATAAGCTGTTTCTAAGGGTAAGATACTGCATTAGGCACCTGAGGCATACGAAATAAATCCTATAGAGCCATGTCTGCCCTCAAGGAGCCTTTTAGTGGGGAAGATAATGTATGCATATAAATAACTTTAATACAAGGCAAAAATAAAACATTCAGGAAGAGAGGGCACAGATGAATTGTTATGAAAGTTAAAGAGAGAAAAAACTATTTTTGGCTTATGCAATCAGGGTGAACATCATAGGCGCAAGAGAGCCTTTGACACATACATGGTAGGTAAACATTCGGACATGGTTTGGAAGTAAATATATTTTAGACAGAGGAAGAAGGATAAATAAAATGCAGGAGTATGAAAGTATAGGGACTTTAAAGTATAGGAACTTGAAGGAAGAGTAGGATTCAATCTGCAAAAATGAGAGGGGGAATTTCCTGGAGAGGATACACCATGAGCAAAGATAAAGAGATGAGAAGGTGAGAAGCATTTTTTAATTTTTCATCTTTTTTTGAGCAGACTGTAATGGTATGTGGATCGAGTAATTAGATGACAAATGCTTGATAATGTAGCCCATAGTCTGTAAATATTAAATGAGATTATTTTTCTTTCACTGAAGAGGCCCAATGAAATCTTCTCTTATTTAGATCTACTTAGTACACTAATAACGTATAATAGTGGAGCATTCAGCTGTGAATTGAGAAAAACTGAAATGGCTTATTTCAGAATGTGTCTGATAGTCTATATGATGAGAAATAACTGGCTTGACTGAATTTTTATTTTTCAGTTGATGGTTAGTCATTGTGTACGTAGATGTGAGCAAAGAATAAATGTATGTTTGGAGTACATCTTTTGGGCTTTTATACTGATTCCACGTTCTTGTTGTCATGACTACCTACCTTAGGCATACAATAGAGCAGATGTTCCTTTATATGAATACCTACATAAGCTCTCTACATATAGCCTATACTATTCATTAAATCAAAGGAAGTAGTAGGAATAACTGAATTTGTATTTAAGTGAAATTCTGCACTGGTGGTAATGATGGGTTTATTATAGTCCTTAGAATGTAATATGAGGGCAGGCTGTCCCTGTGTAGTGACTCAAAATGGTTATCAAAGAAACAAGAGATGGCAAAGGAAGGTAAATGGAAAGGCCTTAAAGGCCTTGGTTCTATTTAGCAGTTTGCCTCAAACCAGCACGGTGACCATCGAACCAAAGGTTTCTATGGATTTTGTCAAGGAATTTTTTCCCCTCAGATTTCTGGTGCACTGGGTATATCAGAGAGGGAAAAACAAATTTAAGGGGCTCCTGGGTGGCTCAGTCGGTTAAGCTTCTGACTTCGGCTCAGGTCATGATTTCAGGGTCCTGGGATCAAGCCCTGAGTGGGGCTCCCCGCACAGCAAGGAGTTTGCTTCTCCCTCTCTCTCTGCCCCTCCCCCTGCTTGTGCTCTCTCTGTCTTTTTCAAATAAATAAATAAAATCTTTAAAAAATTTAAAAAAAACTAAAAATAAATTAAAAATAACTTTAAAAATAAAT